AGAGAGAGAGAGAGAGAGAGAGAGAGAGAGAGAGAGAGAGAGAGAGAGAGAGAGAGATCACATCGCATGACTACAAGTAGCTCCTAGGAAGCCAAGAAATGTGGTGTTTGGGAGACATATTGCTGCTCCCAGTCAAAATCAAATTAATGTTTGGCTATTAGGAAGGAGAGGGATAGGTACAGCATTTGGCAAGCAGCAGTCTCCTCAATCTGGGAAAAGAAAATTTCTTCCAAACATTCTGCCCACCTCTCTTGACATCTTTAACACAGAAGCACCACACCCTTGCCTAAGGCCAAGAGCAGACCAGAGATGAGCATATGATCACAGTCATGTACTGAATCCAGGAAGAGGTTCCCAGAAGCATGGGGAGGTTTGGTCGAATGGAGTGGATTATTGTTCTAGGCAACTGGGGTTCATCCCCTGGGAGGCTCTGGAAGATACTGTGGAACAGTCCTCAGAGCGGACCTCTCAACCCACACCACTGTACTCCTGGGGGCATTCACTCACCAACATGTCTTCCCTATCTTTCCCCTCTGGTCGAAAGAGCAAGCAGCCAAAAGTGCTTATAGCTGGAATGAGCAGTGTGCAAAGAAATAGTGACTGCTCGGAGTTCCCTGTCTGCAGGGGTCCTCCAACCAGTTTACATGGATACTAATGGAGCTGGCCCTGCACACATACTACATATGAGACACATGTGTATGTACATGTGCACACATATACATGTTTAAAAACGGTGAGTGCCACAGGAATGTGAGTAGAACCAACCCTTTCTGCTATAATACATGAACCTCAAATGTTCTCTCTCCTCTCTCCCTAACGGACACCTTAAACTAAATGATCCTTTCCTAAGAGGAACCTCAGATGAGGCAGTTAGTTTAACCAGCTTAATTAATGGGCCAATTTCTGTCAAGAGTTGGGCAGTTTAAAACAACATGAAGCCTCCAGATTCCTTGAACGCATATAACTGGACATGCAATTTAGCACACTCAACTATATACAATCACTTGCTAATTTAAAATCTGGTCCCCTCAAGATTATGAGAGAGATGAGCTGGCGCCTCCTATACATAAAGCTTGTCTTCAACCTGTGTGATGCTTGTGAGCATCCTCGAGATACCCGCCAGTGGACAACAGATTAGAAAAGTAATTTACATAAGGATCATGCGAATCTCAGAGGAACTTCGGATCGTGGCCCCTCACTATCTCTTGGGAACTTGCTGACATGAAGCTGTGTGCATGTGGGACTCTATGCTTTCCAAATTAGATCTCTAGAGAGTGCCCAGGAAAGAAAGGACATGTGCATCCAAGTCCTTTCAGAAAAGGGATGGCTCAGACTCATCTCTATTAATCAGCAGGTAGGTGTTCAGTCCCTACCACATGTCAGAGAGAACGGGAGAAGATGCAGTCCCTTGCCTTTAAGAGCTTAGCTCGAAGCAGGACAGCCTGATTAGTACTTCAATCACTGACAACCCGATACTAAATACTGGGGCCCTTAGACCTGCACTGTACTTACACTGTTCATTAGGGCTTCTGTGTGCTCGCCATGGACTCTCACAGTCCTATCCTTCCCTTCCTGGTTGGCTGCTTGCATGGGTTCAGTGCGGTTCCCTTCCCACATGAACAGGTCATTCTCTACGAGGAGGAAATAGGGAATCATAATAAGAACACTGGGGAGAAGCTTCATCTGGCGCAAGAGCAGCTTGCCTTGGCGGGGGACAAGATCGTCTCCCTAGAAAGGAGCCTAAACCTCTACAGGGATAAGTACCAGACCTCCCTGAGCAACATCGAGTTGCTGGAGTGCCAAGTGAAGATGCTGGAGGGGGAGCTCAGCGGCATCATCAGCCAGGTAGGACCCACCTCACATCCTTAGCTGGGAGCTCCGCGGTAGACACTTCCCAGGTGGGTCCCTCTACTGGTCCTAGCCTCTTCCACCCAAGACTCAAGCATCCCACCAAATGAGTTCCTGCCCCTGAATTTTGTAGCACTCAGTTTTAATAATTTCCAGCTTTTATATTTCCTTTAAGATTACTCCTAACCAGCGGTTGGGGGGGAGGGGGACTCAGTTGATAGAATTCGCCTAGTATGCATGAAAAAAATGGGTTCAATCCCCAGTATTACACAATGAGTTCAAGGCAGCTTCCTAAGACCTCATCTCAGAGAGAGAGACAGAGACAGAGATAGAGACAGAGAGACAGAGAGGGAGAGACAGAGACAGAGACAGAGAGACAGAGAGGACAGAGAGGGAGAGAGACAGAGACAGAGAGACAGAGAGGACAGAGAGGTCAGAGAGGTCAGAGAGGGAGAGAGAGAGAGACAGAGACAGAGACAGAGAGGACAGAGAGGACAGAGAGGGAGAGAGGACAGAGAGAGAGAGAGAGAGGAGAGAGTCATTATTAAGGGGACTACTACATCAGGATATGCTAATTTTGAGTGATTGCCATGTAAACTAAAATGGTTCTGCCACTTTACACTTTTAACAACAATAATTAAAAGAAACCTTTTTGCTTTGTTTTGTCAAGACAGGGTTTCCCTGTGTAGCTCTGGCTGCCCTGGAACTCACTCAGTAAGCCAGGCTGGCCTCGAACTCAGAGATTCCCCTGCCTCTGCCTCCCAAGTGCTGGGATTAAAGGAATGCACCACCACCACCCCCATCAGGCAAAAGCTTTTTAGAATACAATTTTCATCCTTGTGTTCAACTGAAGGGTAGGGCGAGGACATTTTCCTCCACCCAATCCTCAGTTCCTCTAGTCCAGTGGATTCTCCAGGAAAAGGCCCCAGACAGACTCACATCCAAGTGTTTATAGACAGCGATCTTGGCATTAACAGCTGTGGAAGAAAGCAGAACAAAGCTAGGCTGAATAAAGAGTAGGGATGAGCTGCCCTGCAGTCTCCCACAGGCCTCCCCTACTCCAGAGGGAGCTGCAGAGGGACCCTCCGAGCTTGAGTTGAGGGCAAGGGTTCTAGCCTTGCCGCCTGCTTGTTATCAGCTGCTGAGTGTGACTCAGGCACACACAGCCCCTCTGTGACTTAGGCAAAGCCGTTTTCCTCAAGTCAGGCAAGGCCTTTACATGGCTTCTCACTGACCGGAGCCCTTGAGAGAGACCCTAGGAAGCCTCTCACTACCAAAAGCGGTCTGGCCTCCACCAAATTAGTAGTTTTAATCCTTTCTTTAAAAAATAAATAACTGTGTTATTATTCTTGTATTGATTTATGGGAGCTTCTTAATATATATAATAATAGTTCTTTGCTGTGCTGCGCATAGTCCCCAAGGCCATTTCACTTAACTTCATTAATGGCATTTTTACCATGTGGAAACTTCAATGTTTGTGGAGTTGAATCCTCACACTCTGTAGGTTCCAGGGTTTGGTTTTTTTTTTTTTTTTTTTTTTGCTTTTTCAAGACAGGGTTTCTCTATGTAGTTTTGGTGCCTGTCCTGGATCTCGCTCTGTAAACCAGGCTGACCTTGAACTCACAGAGGTCTGCCTGGCTCTGCCTCCCGAGTGCTGGGTGTGCGCCAGCGCTGCCGCCGCTGCCACCCGGCTCAAAATATAAAGGTTTATCCTTTTTTAATATATATATCTTTATAAGTTTTCATTTTTATGTCTTCAATCTTCAGTCCGTATGTGCATAGGAAATGAGGCGTGACTTTAATTTTACATTTATTTATGTGGATCTCTAGGGGTCCCCAAACCATTCACTGAACACAGCAAGCCTCCCCTACTAACTCACGCGCCATCTTGCAGTACCCAGTGCCTCTGCACACAGGTTCTCAGGACTCTCACTTCTGATCTGCTTGCCTCCAGTGTCAGAGCTCCTCAGTGACTGTCTAACAGCACCTTGTAGACCCTCCTCCTCCTCCTCCACTGTCTCTGTATTCCACAACCATCCCTAGACATCTCTTCTTGAAGAAATTCACACGTATATTGACTAATGCTCATATTATATATTATTGTGGGAAATTAGCAAGCCCCATGGAGCATGATGTGTGGGGATTTTGATCCTTTCTTTTAACTGAGGATTTACACTTTTCTTTACAGGCCTCATGTATTTTGGCTGAGTTTATTCCTGGATCTATTACAGTGGTTCCTGGTTCTTTCTGTTTTGAGACATGGTTTCACTATGCAGTCCTGGCTAGCCTGGAACTTTCTATGTACAACAGGATGGCCTTGAACTCACAAGTTCTGCCTCCTAACTGCTAACTAAATATGTATGCTACTACATCCAGTCTGAAGAGAAGCTTTTCTACATTTAATCTTAAGGATTATAGGGTCTGGAGAAGTGGGTCAGCTGTTAAGAGCACTGGCTGCTCTTCCAGAAGACCCAGATTCAATTTCTACCACCCACATGGTGGCTCACAACTGTCTATAACTTGGGTTGCAGGGGACCTGAGGCTGAACCAACAACCAGGGAGCCTGCATGGGACTGACCTAGGGACTCCTCATGTGTGTTACAGTTGTGTAGTTTGGTCTTCTTGTGGGACTCCTAACAGTAGGAACAGGGGCTGTGTCTGACTCTTTTACTGACTTTTGGGACTCTGCTCCTCCTACTGGGTCACCTTGCCCAGCCTTAATCCATGGGAAGGTGCTTTGTCTTACCGCAACTTGATACGCCATGTTTTGTTGATACTCATGGGAGACCTGCCCTTTGCTGGATGGAGATAAAAGAGGAGGGAATGGGGGTGGGGTGGAGGAGAGGGACTGGGAGGGGAGGATGTGGGAGGAGACTGCAGCCAGGGTGTACAATAAATAGATAAATAAAAAATTTTAAATTAAGAAAGTGTTCCTATATCTCACCGTTAAGCACAAGGCTGTTCTCAGCTTCTTGCTAATAACCTTTTCTCAAGTTGAAGAAACGACTGTTTATGTCACTGCCAGACATGGTGGCACATGCTTATAATCCCAACACTTGAGAGACTGAGGCAGGGGGATTGCAAATTCAAGGCCAACCAGGGATATAAGGAAAATCCAAATCCAGCATGGGCTAGATAGACCTGTCCTTTAATGAAATCGGTAATATTTCCTCATACTAATAAATTTTCATATATAGAATAATCCTTGTGTTCCTGGAATAAATTCTACTTGATCATAATGTCATTTCTAAAACTTTTTAATTATTAAATTTAAAGAAGCAAGATTAATTTGACAGTTTAAGTTTTTATCTGTCTATCTATCTATCTATCTATCTATCTATCTATCTATCTATCTATCTATCTATCTATCTATCTACCTGCTTATCTGTATTTTTTACCAGGAGTCAAACCCAGGACCTGGCACACACTAGGCGAGACCTCTCCACCTGCTGCCACCCCAGCCCTTCTGTTCTCATCTCATACTGACATCTGACTTATTCAACCCTAAGATGAGTGAGGAACCTTTCCGGATTTTTCGAAAGCGCCGAAGCAGTCCGTACCACATGGGAAATGGCTGCTTCTCTGAGACGGCCAATGACTCCAGTGTTCGATGGTCCTTGCCTATCCGTGAACTCCACCTCCTTCCCATTCTCATGCTTTCCTTCTTATAGAACAATTTCTTCTTAATGCTTTCAAGGATGTTTGTGAGTGGCAAGCTTTCTCAATACTTTCATGTCTGTCCAAGGATTATTTGGACAGAATCCTAGTCAGCTGGATGTACCCACTGGCCAAATCTCTGAAGGTCTTCCTGTGTTGCTCTGTGCCGCTCAGTACCAAAGCCGGTGACCTCAATCTCGCCATCTTGTGTTTCATGGGTCATAAGTTACCTCTTTCCCCTGAGGCAGGGGGGTGGACAGGCTAAGGATGTTTTAGTTTAGTCTTTATCACACCTCTCAATGCTTAATAAGCTTTTCATCTGAAGATCTATATTCAGGGAGTTATTCTTTTACGACTTTTAAATCAATTTCCATTTTTTACTCTATAGGATTAAGAAGGTTCTAGAACCTATAGGTATTTTCTTGCTGCACCCTCACTTTCCTGTTATGTTTCCCAATTCTTTGCCTCCTGTATGCTAAATTATTTACATGAGCATCAAATGTGATCAGTTCTGGGTTTCTAGCTGACCTTTCTCCAGCTTGCTCAGGGGTAGCTTTCACGCCCAATGAACATGAACTATTTCTAAAATTAGAGTGCTTCAGGAGTTAGGAATTAGGAAGAAGAGTTTATTGAGAACAAGATCCACCATCCACACTAGAACCCCGAGCTAGTTTAATTATGTGCCTCAGTTCCGTGTAGCAAGACTTTCTCTGTCCCTCTAACTCCCAAATAATGACACGGAGACTTCTTGTTAATTAGGAAAACTCAGCCTATAGTTTAGGCTTGTTCCTAACTAGCTCTTATACCTTAAATTAATCCATTTATATTAATCCATGTTCTGCCACATAGCTCGTGGCTATTACCTCTCCACCTGCACATCCTGCTTGCTCTGAGTTGCCTGGCGTCTCCATCTTTCTTCTTCCCAGGGTCCTCTCTGTCACTGGAAGTCCTGCCTATACCTCCTGCCTAGATATTGGCCATTCAGCTCTTTATTACACCAATCACAGCAATACATCTTCACAAAGTGTATAACTATCCTACAGTAGTTCCCCCCATTACTACTGTGGACCAACAACAGGATGGATAGTTAACTACATGCAGCTTCAGCTGGCTAAGGAAATTGTTTAGATACAGTGGGGTGAGGAGGTAGCTCGGTCAGGAAAGCACTTGGACTTGAGTTTGACCCTCAGAACCCCCATAAAAACGATGAGTGTGGTGGTGCACGCTTATAATCCCAGCATGGGGAATTGGAGACAGCCAGATCCCTGGGGCTCCCTGGCAGCCAATCTAGCCTTTGGTGATTCCAGGCCAATGAGATGCCCTGTCTGAAAGGAGGGGAAAGGTGTCCCTAAAGATGACTCATGAGGTTTTCTTCTGGCCTCCACACACACATGCATGCACATTCACACACACTAAAAACATCCTGGCAAACGGTCCTATTGATTGAGAGCATCAAGTATTATAACCTCCTCAAAGAATGGTTATATAATATCTGTATCGGTTTGGGCCATGTACTACAGTCCTAAGTCTAGGAATTTAATCTACATACTTGCCAAAACAGGTACTCAAAGATTGAGGTGCAAAAGTATTCAATTCAGCTTCTTTTTTAGAAAAAAACAAAAACACAAATAGCCTATATGCCCATCAACAAGAGACTGGATAAGTGCATCTTAAAGCAATTTGAAAGGACAGAATAGAATGGAAGAACACATACCATGAGTAAATCTCCAAGACATCTTCAGTTTCACAATCCATTTTTAGTCCAACATAACCCATTAGCCTATAGATTCACTTATAATGTAAATGTAGAGATAAAGTTCCAGAAGTGTGTGCACTGTGTGTCCTCTCTGTAAAGAGAGGGCACGGGACTGGAGGTAATAGTCCAAGAGAAATCTACACATGTCTACAATGTCACAGTGGTTTTTAAAGAGATGACAGACAGAAATATTTGTGTAATTTGAAACTGATTTTAAGAATAAGATAGACTAGGAGGAGAGGACTCAGTAAAGTTTTGCCCTGCAAGCATGATGACACGGGTTTGAGTCCCAGGAGCTACATAAAAACGTCAAGTGTGAAAGTCCTCTTGTAAACCCAGCACTGAGGAAATAGAGACAGGAGAAGCCCTAGGGCTCGCTGGCCAGATCAGTGAGTTCCAGGTTCAGTAGGAAATTCTGTCTCAAAAAATAAACCAGAGAATAATTGAGGGGGTGGGTACCCAATGTTAACCTCTGGTGCACAGAGAGAGAGAGAGAGAGAGAGAGAGAGAGAGAGAGAGAGAGAGAGAGAGAGAGAGAGAGAGAGAGAGAGAGAGAGAGAGAGAGAGAGAGAGAGAGAGAGAGAGAGAGAGAGAGAGAGATTTACAAATAACTGGAAAATAACCCTCAACAAATTGTCACGTGAAGACAATCACTACAATAGTGTGCAGTGGTACTCCCATTTGTAAAAGGACCCAGGTTGGGTTACATATTGTCCAGATGCCCAGCACGTCACTTCACAGCTACCAAAAGCACTGGTAGCACAGAGTGTCACCGGGGAGGGACCTGAGTCACAGGGGACACAGAATGTATGCTCTTGGGAACTGTTGGGACCTTTCATCTGTGTCTGCACTGGTTGGTAACGGTCTTTTGTTAAAGACATTCTGCTAACTGAAGGCAAACATACACCTCTAGAACATGAGTCTAGCAGGACTCCTAAGTTGGCTCACAGATTACAAACAAAAGCAACTGGTTATCTTTACATGTGCCAGGAGCCTGAGAACAAGGGAGACCACTCAAAGGTGCGTATCTACACTTCTCCGTGCATGATTCAAGAGCATCAGGAGACCCGAAAGCGACTGTCTGAAGTTTGGCAAAAGGTTTCTGAGCAGGATGACCTAATCCAGGAGCTTCGGAATAAACTGGCCTGCAGCAACGCTTTGGTATGTGCCTCTCTTCAGAACACTGTCCTAACAGACTCCCCACGGAGCCGTGAGGAAGGGAGTCAACTAAATTAATCTCTTTAACCAAGACTCCTCAAATGTCCTATAAATGTGTCCCTGCCTCTTGTTCATGGGCATGTATGTCCCCATTGATTTAACGTCAATGGTCTAAAGAGACACAGCAAACAAATTTCATGTTTCTTGAGTTTTTTGGGTATTCATACTTTCACCCACTCCACAAGAAACTTCCTTAGAGATCACTGACTCTTGGCCTCTGGTAAGTTAGGCACTCATCTCCATTGTAGCCTCCCAAAAGCCTGTTTCATAAAGTAGACCTCATAAAGCATGCCAGTTCAGAAGGGGTCCAAAGCACTCAGGATGCCTTAGACAACCTGACATAAGATTGAGAGCACAATTCCTTCTCCATCCTGACCCATGGGAAGGGCACAGTGAATTACATAAGCACGCCACCAATCTATGCTGCAGAGAGGAACCCACTGCAAAAACAGTAATAGTAACGCGTGTGTATTATTGATCACCCTGACTGACCCATGACCACTTGCAGGTTCTGGAGCGTGAGGAGGCTTTGATAAAAATACAAGCTGACTTCGCTTCCTACACAGCCACCCACAGGCATCCCCCTACCTCCTCAGAAGACTGTGAGGACATCAAAAAGGTGGCGTTCCTTTGCTTCTCTGTGGGATTAGGCTGAGGGATTTGCTTCTGGGTTTCTCTGATTGTTTTTTTATCTTGATACTATAGTTTGGAAGTGTTCTGTTTTTGTGGGACCTTGGCCAGCCTTGACAAAAGGATACTACTGTGCATAACGTACTCCAGCCCCAAAGACCATGGGAGCAGTAGATAGATTGTGGAACTTCATCCACCTCCTAATCCACTTCTTTTTTTTTTTTTTTTTGGTTTTTCGAGACAGGGTTTCTCCGTGTAGCTTTGCGCCTTTCCTGGAGCTCACTTGGTAGCCCAGGCTGGCCTCGAACTCACAGAGATCCGCCTGGCTCTGCCTCCCGAGTGCTGGGATTAAAGGCGTGCGCCACCAACGCCCGGCCTAATCCACTTCTAATGTCACATCCAAGCAAGACCATACTCCTGTTGGCTTGATAGACTTGGAAAGACTCTACAAACTTCTAGAGCCTGTCTAGAGTTGACAATGTGGGGGAAATTATCAGTACAAATGCATTAGTTGTTTTTTTTTTAATTCCATAACCTTGAAGCAGTATCAAAACTTGGCCTAGAGAAATGACTCAACAGTTAAGAGCACCCAAGTTGCAAAGGCCCTAAGTGCACTTCCCAGCACCCATATCAGGTGGCTCATAACCTCCAGTAACTTCAGCTATAAGAGTAGCTGGCACTTCCGTCCTCCATGGGCACTGGCACTCACATGCACTTACCCACACATAACCTCACATGCATGAACATAAAATATTTTTAAAAGCAATATCACAAGTTGACTCTAATAATAAATAAGCAATTAAGCCATAATCAACAAATAGCAAGCTTTGGTGAACCAGTAGTCAAAAACATAGGTCCCACAGATGAGCTCTTAAGTCTATCATGCCCAAACATGAGGTCCGTGACAAAACCAGCTTAGATAACGCACTGTGAAGAAGGTTATACAAGCCTGCATGGGCCTATGTGGAGTTGAGGTATGTAGTGGGAACAGAGAAGGAGCCGAGAAAGGAAAAAAACACACATTAAGTTCTCCAAGGGGACCTCTAGTGGGCAGGCAGACTCTTTAGGACTTTCCAGTTCCAGAAAATCAGATGACTGTGGCATGGATTCTGAACTTGAAAGATCATCCTTGGAACTGTGAACGTCATCACTATGTGTTTAAGTGGTGGTGTTCACATCCTGACCTACAACGCCTACAAGACTTTTCCTGTGGAGACACAACACATGTCTACTCACCCCAGATAGGGAACCAATGACAGACCAAAGTACAGGTGCCACCAAAGTTCAACTTGGTGAGCCAGTGAGTTTTATTGTGGTTACTTTCAGGAATATGGGTGAGGGATCACTTATAGGAGCAATGACTCAAAGACACCTGCATCACCGAAGCCTAGCCCAGCATGTGAGGTGTGATACGTCACAAAAGCTGAGAACATGGAGGGCACTGCATAGCCTGCAGGCCGCTCAACATTTGGAGAGTCTTTTCCAAGGGACTCGGTTGGCCTGAGTATCTTCCACATGGCTCGGCTGGTTTCTGCTTCTTGTAGGCAGTTGGTCTGATCTCAGGGTCATCTTTACAGGTTGCCTTTTTTACTTACTCTGGCGGGGGAAGGGCCTAGTGAATCTGGTCCGCTTCAGGGACTTCCTGAGGCTGTTTGGAGTTGCTGGCCTTCTGTCTTAAGGAGCTTCTCTGCAGGATGAAATGTTTCTGTCCGAGGAAACACACCATCTCACCCATGGCCACTTTTAAATGACGCCAGCTCCTCCAAAAAGAACAATACACCAGAGCATTACTTTGCTCATCACTGCCCAAATAATGGAGAAAAGACACACCTCCATGGAGAGTCTGGTTGACTTTGGCTCTCATTTTGAGGATACAGTCCATCATGGCAGTGAAGTCATGAACATGAGGTGCCTGGTCACGTTGCCTCCGGAGTCAGGAAGCAGGGAAGAGATGAACGTTGGTGCTCAGCTTGTGTCCTCCCTTTCATTCACTCCGGGACCCCAGCCCAACATTCACAGTGGGTCTTCCATCTTAACTGGACCCTTTTGAAAACACTCTCGTAGGCACACCCAGAGCTGTATAAATTCTGTCAAGCTGACATAAAGACTAGCCATCCCAACCTGCCCCCACCCACAGCGCCACCATTTCCTATCTGTCTTTATGCTGCAGCTCTCCTTCCTGCTGACTTCCAAATCACATAATAAATCCCTCAACACCCTGGATGCCAGGCAGTTCATTCCTCTCCCTCAGCCCCAGGCCCTGCCCCGTTGACACTGGAAAGGCTTTGCCTTTTTCAGAATGGAAGGGCATATATGAAGAAACTCTGAGCCCGACACAACGGAAGGAGCCAGAGCTCCTCATCTCCTACCACTTGCCCCTCTCTCCTCCCATTCTGACCCCTCTGGCCTCCTCTTGGGCCTCCATCTAGTTCCTTGTCTACAGCCAGTCAGTAGCTCTGTATCAAAGCTTTTCCATAGATATTTCAGCATGCCTTCCCCTCCCCCTTCCACAGAGATCCCCTCCTCGGTGAGGCTCGCCCACCATCCTATTCACAGCACTCACTCTGCCCACCACACCCTGTGCCCTCTCATTCTATGCTCACTTTGCCCTGTTGTACCTCCCACACCCCTCATCACCCTTCTGTAGGTCACTCTTCTTATCGCTGTCTCACTCTGCCAACGACCAGCTTCCCTGGGCAAGGGTTTGTGTCTGTGGTCTGTGCCCCATTGTCCCTAATAGCGAGGATGGATCCTAGCTGGATGCTCCATTAGAGATTGTTACAGGGAAGACATTCTGTGTGTGCATGGTAAGTCTTCCATTGCCTTTAAGATGAATCTTTTTGAAATTTCTGTCAGATTGAGATGCAATTGATAAAACACAAAATTCGCCATTGGTTGTTAGTATATCCACATGGTTAGGCATCAATCACTACTGTCCATGTCTAGAATATTTTCATCACCCCTGAGGATCTCAATCCACCAGCCGTCTCTCCCCATGCCCTCACCAGCTTCTGATGCCCTCTTCTCTGCTGTCCGTCTCCAGATGGTTGTACTATGGACCTTCCGCCTTTAGGAAAGCACCTTTGGGTGGTTGAGGAGATGGCTGAGTCAGCAAAGTGCTGGCTATGAATGCATGGGCCCCCAAATGTCACACACACCCCAGCACTCAAGTGACTGGACGTGGAATTACATGTCTGATCCCAGAGCTGGGAAAGCAGAGAAAGGCTGATCCTGGGAACCAATCTAGCCAAGTGGGTGATGTTCAGTGAGAGACCCTGCCTCAAATAAATAAGGTGGAGCATGATTGAGGAAGACACCCAAAATCAACCTCTGGCACACATACACATGTGCAAACACCTGTGTGCCTATACTTAAACATGCACAGTAAATAGAAATCAAGAAAGGAAGGAAAGGAAGGGAGGGAGGGAGGGAGGGAGAGAGGGAGGAAAGGAGAGAGAGAGGGAAGAGAGAGGGGAGGGAGAGAGGGAAGGAGGGAAGGAGATAATAGGAATGAAGGGAGAGAGGGAGGGAGATAGGAGGGAGGGAGGGAGATAGGAGGGAGGGAGGGAAGGAGGAAAGAAAGAAAGAAAGAAAAGAAAGAAAGAAAGAAAGAAAGAAAGAAAGAAAGAAAGAAAGAAAGAAAGAAAGAGAGAGAAAAAGAAAGAAA